AAGTGACTGAACACTTAGAGAGAGCTCAGAAATCTGGTCCCTTTTTTTGCAAAAGCCGAATCAAGAAAGGCAGCCCCCTCCTGGGTCTCTGCCTCTGTGTCCTTTCCAAGGGACTCCTTGACAGGATGTGAACAGCCACAAGGCAGTCTGGGTGGAAGGATCCCAGTTCCGCTCCGTTCGGTGTGTGGACAGCCTGGCAACTGGATTAAAGCAGTGGCTTTCAAACTTCACTGACTGTAATCTGCAGTAGGACATGCCATTTACACGTACGTATCAACTCAGAGATATACACATGTACATATAAATTTTAAAAAGTTTTACAAAACTACACTTATCCTTACAATAGATGGTGGTACTCCTTCCTTCCTTCCTTCCTTCCTTGTTTTCCTTTCTTCCTTCCTTCCTTCCTTTCCTTTTTTCCTTTCTTTCCCAGATGCTGGGCATGACCCATTAAATTGATTTTATGATGCACTAATTGGTTATGGTCTGCAATTTTGAAAATCACAGGTTCAAAGAAAGCTGCACCCGTCCCCTGCTCGTGGTTAGGAAGTCCATCAAACTCCTCTTTATTGTTTCTCTTTCAATTCGCCCTCAAGGCTTTTTAGCTGCTGCTTCCTGGTCCTATGATGAGGTATATATCGATCCCAGGTCCTCTTTTTCCCTGCCTGTCTTTCCTGAATAGCCAGCCCTCGCTGCTTTCTAATCAGGGTGTGAGTGTCATCTCGCTCCATCTCAGGTACACTAGCTGGGGCACAGACATGATCATAAATCAAAACCTCTCGGGCTGCCATCTCCCTGACCTTGCAAATATAAACAGGGCCAGTTGTGCAGGTCTCTCCCTCCTTCCTCCTTTCTTTCTCTGCAATCCAGCTTTGTGGAAAACAAGCGTCCTACTAGGTCTTACCCCCACACCCTTCTTTATTAGACTTAATAAACCGTGTCTGTGGCAAAACAGTTTTTTGACTATTAGGTTTACATCTGCCCTCATGGCATTTAACTCAGAAAAGCATTTGTAATCTGCATCCTACATTCCACACTGAGTAATACTGAGCTTAGTTTACTGTTGCTCACATTTTTAGCATCAGTAGCCAAAGACAGAAACATTGTGGGGCTGGGAAGGAAATCTGTTCTCCTTTTTTCTCAATTACAAAGCTGCCAGCATCTCAAGAGTGTGCTCACTGGCCAGGGGCCGCATGTATGATTGCTCAGATTTGCCGACTCATTAGCAGAAGTTCAGTCTGTACCACCCACGCGAAGGAAAGATGTTTCTCAGTCACTTCTGTTTGCAAATTTTAATTTCAAATTTTCCTCTCTCAAACTCACACCCTCAGAGTTTAGGAATACTTAAGACAGATTCCTCATCTCTAGCATTTGTCACTTAAAAACAAAACCCCAAAAAGGAAAAGCAACGGTGGTTCGGGGGAAATGGCACGATCAAGGGCTCTGGAGAGAGAGGATCCCAGCCCGGGTCCCAGCGACGCCACCTGCTCAGTTCCTTGTGGGGCCTGTCTGCACACCTGACAGGTGAGGGCGCCTCCTGTGTCTCTTTCCGGTCTGTGTCAGTTGCTTGGAATACCGACTACAGACATGAGAAAGCCTCCTTGGAATGCAGAGCCCGGGAGGCCCACGAAGGAACAAAGAAAACTGAGCACGTGGGAGAAGGCAGGGGCTGTGCGAGGAGGGAGCCCTTATAATCCCCACAGAGACACAACCACCCTCAGCATGGGTTGCTTTGGTTTGGTTTTGCCCCAACCTCATTTTACATAATACCAGCCCTTCATAAATAAAATGATTAATATCTTATGAATAGTTGTGTAAATTATATTAATTATTCAAAAATAAAATAATAAAGCTCCCTTAACAAACATTGTTGAAATGGAAAATGTGACTCACATTTATATAAAATTTGGGACTCTGACTCTCGTTTTATGAAATATTGATATTTGAAAACCAAGACTGTCCTGAATCCTGGGCTCAGAATGTCCTCAAGGTCTGGTGTAGAGGCAGGGTTACTCTCCTACACTGGCACTGTGGTGTTGTTACTTCCCATCTGCAACGTATCAGGGTCAGTCACTGATATTTATTAGGCTCCCTATCACTATGAGGGAGAAGAGTGCCTTAGCATGTGCTCAAAACTCACTTCTTAGCCCTTGGAATAGCACTGTTCTTTTTAAATACTGGTGTTTAACAAATTACTCCAAAACTTAATGACTAAAGACAATAATTTTATTTCGCTCCCTTTTTTGGGGATCAGGAATGTGGACAGCACTTGACTGGGCAGCTTATCTGTTTCACGTGGCATCTTCAGGGACAGCTGACTAGTGGCCTTTCCAGGTTGGTGGTCTGGGAGTAGTGGGACTTCTTATATGGCAGCTCAGGGCTCCCAGGGAGGATGCCAAGAGCCAGGGAGGGGAAGCTTCCCTCAAGACCTGGGCTCAGAAAATGGGCTACTATCAGTTTTACCATATTCTATTGGTCAGAGCAGTCACAGAGACCACTCAGATTCAAGGGAAGTGGATGTAGACCCCACCTCTCTCTGCAAGGAGTGTCACAAATCTGGAGTCACCTTTAACCTACCCTAAGAAAAACTTGATAATTGCTAACATGGGCTTAGAGATTGTGTACTTCTTGGTCTCAGGACAGAGGGTAGGCATGGACAGGACGCAGCCAAGATCCTGGGTTTGCTTTTGGGCTTGCTACTGGTATCCCAGTGACGTGATGAACACACAGCAAATTCTTGACAAATCTTGTTGCTAATTGTTGTAACTGCTGCATTCCCTTAAGTAGAGTGCTACGGGGAACAAATTCAGTCAATCAGTGAGTCGGGAAAGATCTATTAGGCATTTGGTCTGTGTCAAACATTGTGCCGGGTGCTGGGGACACAGTGGTCAACAAAATACCCAGCCATGGTCCTTGCCCTCACAGAGGGTATGATCTGGTATAGGAGACAGATATTATCAAAGGATTTAAAAAATAAGTGCAAAATTGCATCTTACAGAAGTGCCTTAAAAAAGAGGTGCATGATGCAAGATCAGGGCAGGCTTCCATAAAGAAGTGATGATTGAACTAAATCTGAGAAATGGGGGATGAGGGGCCAGAGACTGCAGGGCCTTGGAGACCACAGGGTTTGATCCCTGAGGTGGTATGTGGACACCTTGCATATTCCATCCATTCATCCAGCCATCCGTCTGTTCATCAATCCACCCATCCACCCACTTAGTCATTGAGCCCTGACTGATCACCTTCCGTGTGCTGAAGACACAGGGGTGTCACAGGGTGAGACCACCTATTCTGTACCTTCATAGAGCTTCCTCCCACCCCTCCTATGTTCTAGACTTTATTACCTTCACCAAGCATTGAGATTCTAAAGACCCCTCTAGTTTTAACATTCAAGGATAATATCCCACAAGCCCCATCCTTAATCTCCCCAGTCATAATTATTTGAATATGCATCTTTTGGTCACAAGGAGTACATGGTGCAAGGATGGGAATGATTCAACACAACTGCTGTCAGAAAACTCTCAGGAACCATGGATGATGACGCTATATTGTGCTGTCTCTTTGGCTGCGTGGGCAGGTCTGGCCATGCCCTGGGTAGAGTCACAGGCCATTCCTCTCTCCTGGTAAGGGCATTTCTCTCTCCACGGCCTTATTAACACTGGGCGCCATTCTCCCAAGGGTGGATTCTTTGGTTACGGATGTTTTTACTACAAGAGAATTGTTCTGCTAATCAATTCAATTTAATTCAATCCCAACTTAGCCCAAGTTAGCTTTGTTTAGTGTAGGTAGATTCAGTTCAGCTTAGCTTTACTCAACTCAGTCCATCCATCCATCCATCCATCCATGCTTTCAGCAAGTATTTCTTAAGTACTTTTCTTTGTCAAAGTCTATATGGGTCTGGGAATTCCACTGGGGTTGCTCCCACCAGCTGACTCACCTCCCTGCTCTAATCTGATGGTATCAGTGTACTGTGGAGAGACCACTGGACTTAGAGCAGGACCTCCCTATGTCTGTAATGTAGCCCTGCCATTTACCTACTGCCTTGGGTAATTTTCTTCGCCTTTCAGAGCCACAGTTTTCTTACCTGTAAAGCAGGAATGATAATAATAATATATATATACTTTGTGGAGGGTTTGTCACAATTAAATTCAAAGAAGCCACTCACAAATGGAATCCATTAAATCCACCCATTTTTTAACCTCTCTGGACCTAAAGGAAAGACTAGACTAAACAAGAAAAAAAGAAAAAAGATCCAAAGCTCAGCACAACACTTGGAAAACAGGAGAATTCACTAGGGAGGAGTTTGCTAGTGAATCATGGTATGGTTCTCTTGTCTCTGCCCTAGAGTCTCCACGTTCCCCAAAGGCCTCTTTTGATATCTTCACTGATTTCTTTTTGGGAGACTGCCTTGATATTTACCCAAGTTACTTTTTTGCGTTCCTGGGCTCAGCCCAACTCTTGATTTCTCGTGCTCAGAATCAGGACCTGTGCACTCGAGTACATCGCAGGCATTCACTGGTGAGCCAGTCCTTCATCACTAGCCCACGCCTTTATAAGCAGGGAGAAGATACAGGGAACAGAGGATGTGGTGGCAGCCTGCACAGCCCACCAATCCAGGAGAACCCCAATAAGGCACAGTTGGGGCATACTATAGCATCGATAGCAGAGGAACAGGAGACAAGAGAAAAAAAAGATGAGAGCAGGACATCCAAGAAAGTGAAATCAGGTCAGGGTGGGTCTCCCCAATGGAGACTACCATGTCATTAGACATCAACTCACATCCTACAGGTGCCGACTCTGGCCTGAAAATAGACGCACAACCGAGCCACAGGATACCCAAGGTTCCGCATTCTCGGGTTCCCTCAGCTTGGGAAGGCTTTCCCTTTATCGCTCATTGTTTCCACTTGTGGCTAAAATCAGACCCAGGTTTCTCATTTTAAAAATGTCTTCCATCCCGTTGCTGCCCAGGGTCATCTCACATGAATACCCTCTTTTCTTAGGTACTCGATGGTCTCAGAGGCAGAAACAGAAAGCATTTTCATGGAGCCCATTCATCTCTCCTCAGCCATTGCAGCCAAACAGATCATCAAGGAAGGTAATGCGACCCGAGGGTGGGTGGCAGCAGGGAGAGCCCAGGGGCCATCTGAAGACCCTTGCAGGGGGCCCACTGGAAGACATAAATGTGCTTCTCAGGTGCTGCCCATCACATCAAGAGGTGCAGATCTGAAGAAGGCAGTTCTGACAACCCCTCATCATCACCTTTGATGGGACAGAGGTGGAAGTTATCATGCGTCAGTGTGAACAGTCTTCTAGTCAGCAGCCAGGGAGGCAGCTCCAATTGGCTCTTAGGGCCTCCTGCTCAGTGTTTGGTCACCCCAGGGCCCTGAGGTGGCTTATGGTAGAGACGTAGACCTGAGGGCCCATAAGTAGCAAGGAGCACCTGGAGAGTTCTTTTCAAAGGGATGTCTAGATTTAGAATTGCATTTCCACCAGTGCTTGAAGATGGTCTTCAAACTAAAGAATACATGGGGAGGAGTGAGGGAAGGGTGGGTGGGGAGCAATGTTAGTATTTACACAGTAGATTATGGAGACAACAACATACCATATTTTATTCAAGGATACTTATCCTGATTGGATGGATTTTTTTTTCCTAGTCAATTTTGGGCAAATAATCTTCTGCAATTTCTTTCCTTCCCTTTCTTCTCCTTCTCCCTGGTGCCTCTCACACTTCCGGTGGGAGGGGTGGGGCGGGATGAGGCAGCACTGCTGACGCAACAGGGCCCAGCTGGCCTTTGGCCTTAACCTGGCGTCCGTTGCTGGTGGCCACCATCCCTTCCCTGGCCTTAAGTCGTGAAAACCACACATGCTCCTCCTACTCCACCCTAATCCCAGGCCTTTCTTGGTCCCCTGTTCCATTGGGGTCTCTACCAGGGTCTCCAGAGGACTTCTGGATCTCACACTACACTCACAGAAAATCAGAAATTCAGTTTGTTGTTGCTGCCTGCTCTGGGCACTCTGGGAGGCCCTGTCTTCTCAAAGTTCCCTCTGACTCTGGGGTTTCTTTTTCTTTTTCTTTTTCCCCCCTACCTGGGGTCTCTGTTATCTTGCTCCAAGCCAGGCCAAGGCCTCCAGGCCCAGGCAGTGTCTTCACCCTGGCCTGGTTTTCCCTGAATTGCTCCCGGCACCACTCTAGCTCCAGAAGGTCTTTTCTCCCTCCTTTGTGGTCGGGAATTCCCGTGACCTTCTACCCTGTACTATCCCTGCTCTCTGCTTCATTCAGTGGGCGACTCCCCAGGTTTTGGTTCTTGATAAATAAAAGTCCACCTTTAGTTAGGACTTGTGAGAAAAACATGTTCTCTCTTTGAAAGCTTCGCTTTCAAGTCTATAGAATGCTATGGACATTCAAAGTCTAGTTTGAAACCAGAAGATGCACGATGCCTTATTAAATTCTAGATCTTATGCACTGTCCCCTTCTCTGGGGCATTAAGCCTAAGTTTCATTAGTCTTAGTGGTTGATGGGCTGTGGGGAAAGAAAAAACAATACATTACAGAGAAAGGAAAATGTATCAGGGGATATTTCAAAACGTTATCATGCTCGCTAGTGATCAGAGCGGTGAAAATGTATGTTGAAGACTCCCAATTTTCATGAAAGTGTGCATAGGCCACACATCTGAGAGAGTGCGGGGAGAGATGTGCAGACTCTGCTTTCTTTTGAAGAAACCTCAGGTGATGGAAATAAGCAGGAGAAATTGATGCAGGGAGGTGAAGTCTAAAGAAGTGTGAACCAGAGACCGGGGGGAAAGGAGGAGTTGCCGGCAGGGGCGAGGGGCTGGGACATTTGGTTTTAAACCGAAAAGGGAAGAAATCAAACAACAACCTCTAGATACATAGCTGAGGCAGACAATACTGCATATTTTAATGAGGCTTCAGGAGTTCTATTTTTCACATGCGGTAAAGGAAGGATGTGATAGCTCAGTAGGGAGGGAAGGAGAGGGGCTTTTACATTTGCTATGTAAGCCCTGGGAGAGCTAGGGGAAAAAACTGGGTGGTAGAGAAAATAGGAACACTTCATCTATTTTTAAACAAAATAGAGCTCTGGGATTGCCAAGGTTTTCTTCTTTCTGCTTTTGAAATGGAGATCAGAGAACATTTAGAGCTGAGACCCGGTGCTGGGATGCGGTGGCCCATCAGGGGGTTTGGATGAGGAAAGAGGGAAGGGAAATGAGACCCTGAGCCCCAGGCAGAAGCCAGGACTCCCACGATTCGCATCCCAGCTTTCTGACACCTGTCAGGAGCTGCTTCTGTGAAGGCCTGAGCCAAGTCTATCTTCCAAATGTGGCTAGGGCCAAGGGTGGGGAACCTGCGGCCTCAAGGCCACCTGTGGCCCTCCAGATCCCCAAGTGCAACCCCTCGACTGAATCCAAAATTTGGATTCGGTCAAAAGGCCACACTTAAGGATCCAGAAGGCCACATGTGGCCCCAAGGCTGCAGGCAGCCTCTCCCTGCAGCCCTCTGCCCAGAGACCAACTGGCAGGGAAAGAGATGGTGCTGGCAAGAGGCGACGGCTAACAGAGGACACGCCTTTCCGGCTTCTTCTTTCTCTCTAGTCAGTACTTTTGGCTACCAAGTGAGAGGAAATGTTTTGCTCTCCCCTATTCTTGTCTACCTTCTTAGAGAAAGGAAACATTTTACTTCCCCCACATTTGATAAATTGTGAGCAAATATAGTATTAAAAGAAGGTAAAGGTTCACCCCAGAAGTGGGTGAGTTGGGATTTGAGTTCATGCAGAATTTGAGCTTTTCTGTTGTCAGCAGGCCCTGAGTCCTGTTTTGAGACTGGCATGGGGGCTCATGACAAACTCTTGCCACCTGTCTAAGGGCTGGGAGGCTGAGAATCACAGGTGCGGGCGGAAGCAGACAATGAATGAAATAAATAAGTAAATTAAATGTACATTAGGAGGTAATATCACATAAATGACTGCCGAAAGTTTTACTTTTCCCAGGGTTATTTGCAATCAATATGTAAAGGAATCATACTAATAGAGTGAATTATATTATGCAAGTACACCATTGACTCATTTGGCAAACACTTCCCAGACCCACATCGTACTGGGCACCGTGGGAGTTATAAGCATGAATGGGACGTACACCTGGTACTTAAGGACCATCAGCCAGCTTCAGAGAAGCATGGGAGGGAGTAGGGGAACGTGGTTTCCCTTCGCCCACACCTATACAGTCCTGCTGCCGACCCCAGCTACTGGTGTCTGGGCCGACACAGCAGGCCCCCAGGCCCCACTGAGTCCTCCCTGGCAGATCCTGCTGGCATTCAGTCCACGCCCAGAGTCCTCGCAGCCAACCAGCCAAGAGCAGTTCCTCCCAAGAAACAGGGAAGGCCCAGGTATTCCTAACTCTCTGATGAGAATGCCACCCGCCCCCTCTAGAACTCAAGCCACGGGAGCTCAAAGCAGACACAGAGTGTCCAGGCATGCTGGAGTCCGCTGAGCAGCTGCTGGTGGAGGACCTGTACAACCGCGTCAGGGAGAAGATGGATGACACCAGCCTGTACAACACCCCCTGCATCCTGGACTTGCAGCGGGCCCTGGTTCAGGACCGCCAAGAGACCCCCTGGAACGAGGTGGATGAGGTCTGGCCCAACGTCTTCATAGCTGAGAAGTGAGTCTGACTGCTGGGGGTCATGACCCCTTGACCCACCCTCTGGTTAGTGCCTGAGAGAGATGAAACTCCCCCAGCTTTCATCAAAGGCCCCCATGGGTCCACCCAGCATGCTGCAGCTGCCCAACCACTTACCCTGCCCTGGCTCCCTGCACACCTGCCCATAGAGATCCCCAGGGAAAATGTTGGCACGACTGCTTACTCTCCGCCCCACTGCCAGAGCCATCTGTCATAGCCTTCCCCTTCAGAAGGCCTTCTCTGGGCCTCCAGTCCTGCCACAGAATCCTGTCAACTCTACCACCTCATGGCATCTGTAATGACCACAGAATAGGACACTAGGAGCATTGACAATGATATGCACACGTATTTACCAACATGTAAAAATGTTCACAATATGGAATGAAAAAAATTAGATTACAAGAGAATACATGTACAGTATGATGCTAATTGAGTAACATTTAAGGGGGGGTGTGCGTCATATGCTTTTGCATAGACAACAATTGGAATTGCAATAAATTGTTAACAATATTTCTCTCTGGGAGGTGTTTTTTTAAAGGGGGCTTTTATTTTCTTTTTTAGATTTCTTTTGAATTGTAAAGGTTTTCTAGAGTAGACATTTATTGTTTTTGTAGACAGAATACTGTTATTTTTTTAAGAGTTTACCTGAGGCCAGGAGTTCAAGCTGTAGTGTGCTATAATCGTACCTGTGAATAGCTGCTGCACTCCAGCTTGGGCAACATAGCAAGACCCTGCCTCTGAAAAAAAAAAAGTTTATCAATGGTTTCCAGAACAAAAACAAAAACAAAAAGAACTCACTCACATCCTATTCCTTCAGGATCTTTCCAGTGCATAATTGGTACCAATAGGTTAATTTGTGCAACTAATTTTTGCTGATGCATAGACTACTTAATGAGATGTTCTCCCAGTGTAATTATCCACGTATCCAGAAGCGAAAGAGGGAATTTGGAGTCCCAGGGAAGACAGTCGGGATGGCAGCTTTGGACATCGGGTCTTATCCTCACCATCGAGTAATCAGTTGCCCAGAACTCGATCCCCAGAGCTGGGCACCACATCCTAAGGGATTAAATAGTCTGCAGCTCCAGAAGCATTCACCTTGTGGTCACCAGGAACCCCAGGCATCTCCAGGTATCCCCAGCTAAAGGCCCCTGCTCCTTCTCAGGCAACCCTGTCCTCAGGGCCTCTTCAAACTAAGCTCCATTTATTCGGCTGCAGCAAAAAGAGCTGTGAACTAGAAATCTAAAACACCAATTCTTGCTCAGAGTGTTTTTTTCTCCTTTCACAGTCTGGGGAAGTTATAAGAGCTTGGATTCATTTTTATAATCTTCAAATGGGAATAAAAATAGTTGCCCTATCTACTTCTCTTCATTATTGGGATAAAATAAAATAATGCACGTGAAAAGATTTAAAAAAATATAAGTATGCTGTATCAATGTAAAATACTCCTAATTTCATTATTTTTGTCTGCCACTTTTGTCTTTGATGAATGTCCATTCCCAAGGCATGAGGTTTTAAACTAAAGGTCTCTGGACCAGTCAAAGGTTTTCTTACACATAGTTTTGTTCTCTTCCTCGTCTTGCCCTCCCTTGCTTAGCTCCCTGTCTCTTTTCTCTCTTGCTGCCACCAAGTCACTGACCCTTTTCTTTTTTTTTTGAGACAGAGTCTCACTCTGTTGCCCGGGCTAGAGTGTCATGGCGTCATCCTAGCTCACAGCAACCTCAAACTCCTGGGCTCAAGCAATCCTACTGCCTCAGCCTCCCGAGTAGCTGGGACTACAGGCATGCGCCACCATGCCCGGCTAATTTTTTCTATATATTTTTAGTTGTCTGATTAATTTCTTTCTAATTTTAGTAGAGACAGGGTCTCGCTCTTGCTCAGGCTGGTCTCGAACTCCTGAGCTCAAACAATCCGCCCGCTTCCCAGAGTGCTAGGATTACAGGCGTGAGCCACAGAGCCCGGCCCGCCCCACTGACCCTTTTTATAACGGTGTTTACAGCGATCCCAGACACCCAGGATCAGAGAGAGAGGCACTCACCCAGCTGGGGCCCTCTGAGCAGCTGAAGCAGGCTCCCAGCTGCAGCGGTAACACCTCTCTAGCTCTGATTCTGCCTAACATGTCCCTGCCTCTCCCCCCAGGAGCGTGGCTGTGAACAAGGGGAGGCTGAAGAGGCTGGGAATCACTCACATCCTGAATGCTGCGCATGGCACCGGCGTTTACACTGGCCCTGAATTCTACACTGGCCTGGAGATCCAGTACCTCGGTGTGGAGGTGGATGACTTTCCCGAGGTGGACATCTCCCAGCATTTCCGGAAGGCTGCTGAGTTCCTCGATGAGGCACTGCTGACCTACAGAGGTGAGGGGGGGTCTGCCGCTCCAGGCTACTTCTACCAGGGGAGAAGCAAGGTGGGGGTGTTCTGCAAACCTCCTAATTATCTGCCGTGTCTGAGGGCGTGTGTCTTAAGAAGGCTGCTTTCTCTAAGAAGAGGAGAAAGGACAAGATAATAATTCATCCAGTAATTATTGAGGGCCTAGCATGTGCCACATACTGTTCTAGGCTCTGTGGTGAAAGACTGAGGCAAAGCTTCTGGCCTTTGAATCTTACGCTGTAGAGAGGGGAGAGAAAATGAAAATTAAAAAGCAGAAAATAAAATGAAAATAAAAATGTCAGATGGTGACAAGTGCAAGGCAGAGACTATAACTAGGACGATGTGCTAGAGGGACTGGCCGATCCTTGCAGATGGTGGCGGAGAAGTCCTTCTGACGGTGGGACATTTAAGCCACGTGACAAGGAGCTAGTAATGGAAAATGGGAAGAAGAGCATTCCTGGCCAAGGGAACTGCTAGTGCAAAGATCTTACAGTGGAATAAACTTGGCGTGTTCAGGAATCAGAAGGCTGGCGTGGGTTAGCATGGTGGGTGCAGGGGCCCGTCACACGGGAAATTAAAGGCCAGGGCAAGGAGGCAGAGTGGCACCTTGATCTGATTTATGTTTTGGGAAACTCATTCTTCGGAGGATGGACTGAATAGGGAAGCAGGAAAGCCGTGCCGAGGCTCCTGCCGTATGCAAGTGCGAGGGGGCCTGAGACTAGACTAGAGTTCTCGGGCCCCAGGCTCAGGGAGGAGAGGCTGGAGCCCATGCAGTGGGGCCAGCAGCCCTGCAGGTAAGAGTTCAGGATTTGCTATCCAGAAACCTGGATTTGAATCCAGGATTTGCTACACTTTATCTACCATTTGACTTTGGCCATTTCCTTTATCCCTAGCAACTGCAGTTTCCTTATATGTAGAACAAAGATAAAAATATCTAATCCTGAAGTTGCTGTGAGGAATAAATTTTTTAAAATGCATATGAAAGAGCTCATTTGGCACAACGCCTGGCACATAATACTTGCCTAAAAAATTATAGCCACTTCTGTGATAATACTGTTAATGACTCCCTGGAAAGGCGTTGCTTGTCACCACCAATGGCCAGGATGGGTAACTTCTAATGGAAAACACACACAATGCTTTTGTGTGTACATTTTTATATATATACTGAAAAGTAAGACGTTTTCTCTCCTTTTCAATGTTTAAAAATCCTGTGGGATCGTCTGTCCAAAGTCCGCGGCAGAGGGAGTTTGCCCGCTGCTCTCTCGGGCCTGGCACGCACCTGCCGACCTCCGGGCGAAGACTGGGCAGGCCTGGGAGACAGCGCGTGTAGACACGGCCTCCGGCCGGCGGTCACCCCGCACCATCCCAGGGTGAAAGAGACAGATCCAAGAGGATGGAACTCATTTCCAGAAGCGAGAGCAAGAGCCAGCCGGGAGGGTGGAGGGAGGAGGGACGCGCCTGACCTGCAGGGCCAGGGACGGTGCCAGCTGCGCGGGCCTAGTGAAGGCGGGGGCCTCCCCTCCAGGATGTCCAGGTCGGGCTGGGTCGTCCTGGCCAGAAGCGAGGGCGTTAGCTCCGCCCGCCCAGATACCCAGGTCGCTTGGAGTCTCATTCCCCGTGGGGCCGGATGCGCCCGCGGGCATCTCCTCTCCATTCAGCCTCCTCTGTGTGGTCGTTGCTTTTGTGGGTAATTCCTACTCATCACCGCAGAGAAGTTGTAGCATCCCTAGAATTATCCCCTGAGCCTTAGTTCCTGTGGTTTCCTCCACTCTAGGATGCTTGGGAGTCAGTTCCTAACAAAGAGGGCAATAGGAACACCTGGGGCCGGGCGTTTTACATACTAATTGCGATGACCTCACGGGGTGGCGGGAAGGGGGGGGTGTTATTTACATTGCAGAGATTGGGAAATTGAGACCCATGGAAGGTTAAGTGACTTTGCCACCACGTAATAATCAAGATTCTGTTGGTTGCTAGTACGTAGAAACCATCTCAAACTCCTTTACAAGCAGCAAAGCACTAATTATGAAGATACAGGAAGGAATCCAAATATATTAATAGAAACCTGGCACCCCAGGAGTCTGGAACAACAATTGAACAATCTCAGGACTCTTAGTTTCCAGCCTGTTTCTCTCTCTACGTCGAATAGCAAATGGCTCTAGCTGATCCTGCCTCAGTCCCATTTCCAAATTTTCTGGAGAATTTGGCAGATGCTGGTCCTTTGTCTACCCTGAGTTCTATCACAGTGACAAGTGGGGTGGCCTCTGGGCAAATACTTCTTGTTTTCCTGGAGTGTGGAGAAGGGGTAAGTTCTGAGGAAAGGGGGAATTAAGAACTGGGAGGGTACACACACTTGCCTGCCATATAAAGGCTTATTGTGTGTAGAGAGAATTTGAACCTGGTCTTACTCAAGTCCAGTGCTCTCTCCACTAGGTTTACTCTTCAAGCTTTAAAAACAGGGACCTTCCCCTCCATCAGCCCTGTTGCTAGTCAAAATGGTGACTCTGCAAATTAGAAAAAGACCACCTTCCTCAAACCATTTTACTGATGGAAAATTTTCATCATAACCAAATATATCTTTACTTCGGTGTGAAGGGCGCCCCCTGCAGTGCAAAATCTATACAACATCAGTGTGGACCTTGTACCTAACACAGAAAACAGAAAATGTTATGGCTGCTCTGGGCTAAGTGGGTAAAGACCCCAGAGTCTGACCCACCTGGCCTCTCCCTTGTCCCTCAGGCTATCCCTGAGGCTACTCAGAGGAATTTCAGGGTGCTGGGAACACAGCAGGGAAAAGCATGGCTCCCCCCAACCTGGGGTCTACCAAACTGAGCCTGAGTAGTATTTGATGCCCCATGAGGAAGACTGGCTGGTCATATCCTGAAGTGTCCTGGAGTGAGTCAGCCTGGTGATTCTGCCTCAAAAGGAAGAGAGTGAGACTTTGGGACTAGCCACAGGAGACTGTGGCCTGGTCAGATGGTTAAGGGGAGGTCCTTGGGAGGTCCTTGAGAGACAGTTGAACCCTGAGCTGAAGGTGGGAGGGGAAAAGACCAGCGCATCTGTAGATGCTCCTTTGGAGGCTTTGACTCTGCTCACTTACCTCCCTCTAGTGGCTGCTGGCTCTTGCCAATAATGCCTTTCAGCATTACTGGCCCTTGGCTCCCCTGAATCTTCTCAGTCTCTGACCTCCTGTGTGACAAAAACATGGCCTCAACTGATGCAAAGACATAATAATAAAAGAGTCACTTTCCATCCCATATGGTTAGATAGGATTCTTGACCCATTTAGCAAACATCCCCAAAGGCTGTTGGCAAGTAGATTGATGACGGCCAGGAGGAAGGTCTCCAGTGGTCCCAGTCTGCAGTTTAAACAGGCATTAGAATGATGGCATAGAAGAAGTGTTTGTCACATTCAGGAAGGATGAAAAGCAGAAAGGGAGGCCAGGAGATAACTGCTCTACCGAATGGCGGAGTCAAGATTTGCAAAGGCTTCTGTAGGCTACAAAAACAAACTACATCTACCAAAAATTATTAGTAGGAATTTGTAAAGTTATCCTTATGTTTAAAAAATGCTACGAGAGACATGACTTAATGGTAGTTTTTTTAAAAGAAGTTTTATAGGTTTTGGTGGTATAAAAGATAATTTGAGTTCATCATGTGACATATCTTACCTACATTACAAGCTTAGATGGCATCATTAAAGTCCCAGTGCCCAGAACAAGGGTAGTAAGGAGCCCACTCTATGTGGGTCAGTTCAAAACTGAAATATCTTACTCCATCCTCCTGAACCCCAACTCCTCAGCAAAAAACTGATAAATTCAAGTTTTGACCTGGAGAAGAGTAGCTAGAATACTAAGGGAGCATGAAAAGATGCTCAAATAATGATTGAAAGACACAGAATAGCTAGGAAAAGAAAAAAAAATTAGGGAAGAATATAAGTGATCTTCTTAGGGATTTTTGTATAAAAGTCCTGGTTCATACAGATGTATTCCTTATTGACTCCAAACGTCAAAGGGCACCGATGCCTGTTACAGAAATGTATACTTTTCCCTAATGTATCAAAGAATTTTAAAAATATTAGAGTGCTCGAAATACGGAGTGAGCTGTGTGTCTGTGTGAGCTGTCGAGCTCCATGTCACTGGAAGCATCTGGCAGAGGCTGGATGGTGGGTGACCCAGCATCGGGGTGTTGTCAAGGGAACTCTCCAGTCTAGACTGTGGTGCTTCCCAGCACGGAGATTCTACTTCTCTGTGACTCATTCATCTTAGCCTCCCTTTCCATTTCTGCTTCCCCCTCCCCACAATTCTTTTATTTCCCGTCTCTCCGATGCTTAGTTGGTGGGGAGACGGTAGACACCCACTCCAGTGTTTCACATGCAGGGGCAGAGGAGACTGCTCTGTCGCTCCATAATGGGGGGACAGCGGTGCTCATCCGTCCCGTGACTTGAGCCTGGATGAACACCAGAGGCAAAGTAAACAGCTTAAGTTCAGCACATCAAAACAGCACTCAAAAAAAAAAAAAAAAAACAGTACAAGGAAGCCGCTGCAATCCCATCATTATCTCTCGTGCTCTCTTCTCAGGCAAAGTCCTGGTCAGCAGCGAAATGGGCATCAGCCGGTCGGCAGTGCTGGTGGTGGCCTACCTGATGATCTTCCACAGCATGGCTGTCCTGGAGGCCTTGATGACCGTGCGCAAGAAGCGCGCCATCTACCCCAACGACGGCTTCCTGAAGCAGCTGCGGGAGCTCAACGAGAAGCTGATGGAGGAGCGAGAGGAGGAGGAGGAGCGGGGAACAGACGAGGCGGAGGAGGGCGAGGAGGCGGGGAGCGCGCTCGGGGCCACGGTGCACGCCCTGACGGTGGAGGAGGAGGACGACGCCGCCAGCCACCTGAGTGGCTCCTCCTTGGGGAAGGCCAGCCAGGCCTCCAAGCCCCTCACTCTCATCGACGAAGAGGAGGAGGAGAAACTGTATGAGGAGTGGAAGAAGGGACAGGGCCTGCCCACAGGCAGGGTCCCCCAGGGTGGAGAGGGCAGGCGCTCGGCCGCCTCCAGCCAGGCTGGGGAGGAGCTCGAGGACGAGGACGTGGACAGCATCATCCGGGAGTGGCAGAGCCGCAATGAGCGCTACCACGCGGAAGGGCACCGGCGGTGGGGCAGGGAGGAGGAGGAGGAGGAGGAGGAGGGGGAGAGCGACGCCGGCTCCTCCGCGGCGAGAAGGCGGAGGCACACCCTGAGCGAGAGCAGTGCGGAGAGCGTGAGCAGCCGCGACATACGCGTCCTGAAGCAGCAGCTCGCGGTGAGCGCCCAGAGCCGCGGCGGGAGGCGCCGCTCCGACTCTGTGTCCACCGAGAGCACCTGGGACATGTGGAACGAGCGGCTGCTGGAGATTGAGAAGGAGGCCTCCCGCAGGTACCGCTCCAGGAGCAGGAGGCAGGAGGCCGACGACGTGAGCTCAGAGGCAGGGAGCAGGGCGCGAGAGGACGACGAGGAGAGCGTGTGCTCCGAGGCCAGCTCCTTCTACAACTTCTGCAGCAGGAACAAGGACAAGCTCACTGCCCTGGAAAGGTGGAAGATCAAGAGAATCCAGTTTGGATTTCACAAGAAAGACTTGGAAGCAGGAGACGGCAGCAGCGAGCACGGAGCAGGGGAGGCGGCGGGGGAGAAGCAGCCCTCTGATGTCAGCCTGACGGCCTACCAGGCCTGGAAGCTGAAACACCAGAAGAAGATAGGCAGCGAGAACAAGGAGGAGCTGGTGGAGCTCAGCAAGGGGGAGGACTCGGCCTTGGCCAAGAAGAGGCAACGGAGGCTGGAGCTGCTGGAGAGAAGCAGGCAGACGCTGGAGGAGAGCCAGTCCATGGCAGGCTGGGAGGCGGACAGCTCGGCTGCCAGCACGAGCATCCCCCTGTCTGCATTCTGCTCCGCAGCCCCCTCGGTCAGTGCCGATGGGGACGCGGCGTCTGTCCTCAGCACCCAGAGCAACCGCTCCCACCTGTCTCAGGCTGCAAGCAACACAGGGGCAAGCTTGGCCTCACCCCTGCCTAACCTGCCAGTGGGGCCCGGCGACACCGTTTCCATTGCCAGTATCCAGAACTGGATTGCCCACGTCGTCAGCGAGACCCTCGCTCAGAAGCAAAATGAAATGCTGCTGTTGTCCCGCTCACCATCCGTTGCAAGCATGAAGGCAGCGCCAGCAGCCAGCTGCCTGGGGGACGACCAAGTCTCCACGCTCAGTGGACACAGCAGCTCGTGCCTGGGCGGCTGCCTGCTGCCTCGGAGCCAGGGCAGACCCAGCTCCGACACGCAGTCCGTGCTGTCCTCCCACACCACGCTGAGCTCCAGGGCGGAAGGCGCCGGGAGCAGAGTGAGGGGCACCAGCAAGCCCATCTACAGCCTCTTCGCTGACAACGTGGACCTAAGGGAGCTTGGCCAGAAGGAGAAGGAGATGCAAATGGAGCTGAGGGAGAAGATGTTCGAGTGCAAAATGGAGAAGCTGGCCTCAGACAACAAACGCAGCTCCCTTTTCAAGAAGAAGAAGAAGGTCAAGGAGGATGAGGATGACGGCGTGGACGATAGGGATGAGGACACTGACAGTGCCATAGGGAGCTTCCGATACTCTTCCCGCAGTGACTCCCAAAAACCTGAAACAGACGCCTCCTCCTCCCTGGCTGTCAGTGATCACTATGCAAGTGGCAGCAGAGCTGGCAAAGAGGTGGATAGCAGTATTAATAGGTGGCTCAGTGGCCTCGGGACAGAGGAAAAATCTCCTCCCCCGAGTGATTGGTCTGGAAGCTCCAGGGGGAAATACACCAGATCTTCCCTGCTCCGGGAGACGGAGTCTAAATCCTCCAGTTATAAGTTCTCCAAATCCCTGTCAGAGGAGCAGGACACCTCCTCCTACCACGAGGCAAATGGCAACTCTGTAAGGAGCACTTCGCGATTCTCTTCTTCTTCCACCAGGGAGGGCAGAGAGATGCACAAGTTCTCCAGGTCCAAGTTCAGTGAGACCTCGGGCTCCCGGGAGGAGAGCCCAGAGCCCTACTTCTTCCGCCGGACCCCTGAGCCCTCCGAACGGGAAGAGTCCCCGGAGCCACAGCGCCCACATTGGGCCAGGGCCAGGGACTGGGAAGACGTGGAAGAGTCATCCAAGTCAGACTTCTCTGAATTTGGAGCCAAGAGGAAATTCACCCAGAGCTTTACGAGGTCTGAAGAGGAGGGAGAGAAAGCGAGGACGGAAAACAGAGAAGAAGGGAGGTTTGCATCTGGGCGGAGGGCCCAGTATCGGAGAAGCACTGACAGAGAAGAAGAGGAAGAGATGGACGATGAAGCCATCATCGCTGCTTGGAGACGCCGGCAAGAAGAAACCAGGACTAAGCTGCAGAGAAGGAGGGAGGATTGAGCGAGGGAGCAGCTGAGAACACTGGAGGATGCCATTGAGCTTAGCGCAGGGCTCAGGGCACATGTTGCCACCACCTGCCAAGGGATGAGGAGGCAGAGGGGCAGAGCTGAAATGAGAGGTACCAAGCAAAAGGGCACTGGAGGTGGAGGAGGGAGGAGGAGAGCCATCAACATGAATCCCCAGTGCTGGACCAACTGACTCCACTTTCTGTTGCCCAGTGCCCTCTACACTTCAGTGTTTCACTTACTGTATTTGGTAGTGCTCATCCCAGACCAGAGAGGTGAGCTTGCAAAAGTGCTGTAGTTTGTCGGAGACTCCGGTTTACATCCAGAAAGCCCATGAATGCAGGGCATGGTTCTGCTTGTGGAGTAATGAGACCCAGGAAATCCATCCTGTGGCAAGTCTGACCTCTCCTGGCAATGCTCAGTTCTGGCTGTTTCTTTTTACTGTTTTGGATCTCCATTAAATTGGTATGTTGTCAAATATTCCTTCTTCTTTCTGGTCACTTTTAGCTCTTTGAATATTAGGGCACACCCACTTTAAAAGACACAAATGGGTTATCATGAGCCAGCCTCACCTTGTTCCACAAAAGCTGTGCCTCTAGGCAATGCCATCATCATCTTATTACCGAAAATAATAAGCAAGTATTTAGCCTCAGTGCAGCATGAGACTGCATTCGGAAAGCCTTTGAGAGTGACAGAGGGAACTAGAGAAAGAGAGAATGAGTTTTATTGTGGTGAGAGTGGCGAGACATATAGAGAGGGTCCCTCTGGAATGACCGAAAAACAAAAACAGACCATAGGGGAGAGGATAAAAAAAAGCTCAATTCAAGGGGATGGAAACATATTTTTATATTAATAAAATCTAGTGGCCATCCTTGCTTTTTATTCCTTGGTGGATGCTTGGCTAATTTAGTGAATAGTGCACTTGATTCTTCCCTGCACTCTGGAGGGGCTAGGCTGGTGAGAATTCTTTACTCTTTGCTCCCAAAACACAGGTTTTGCTGCCCCTAAAACACAGTTTGGGTTGCTGAGGCAAGCAACACATTACAACAGTCATTGACGGACTGGTTTCTACAGTTCCTTTCAAGCTACAGCACTTTGCAGGATTTGAAAACAGGCATGTGCCATGCAGCGGTCTGAGATGTCTTGATCAATCAAAAAATTCAATTCGGGAGACACAGCTGGTGAGGAAATGATTAATGGGAGGGAGAAGAGTAAGAAGGAATCCACAATGGGACAAAGAGTAAGTAATAATCATCACTTTGTCTACACACTGAGATCCATGGGACGTGGAGATTATGCAACCTGCCCATGGAGATTAGCTCAGCATCACACATTTTAAAGAGCACAAAGGTAGATACACCAAGGCAAACCAGAGCTGACTCGAGTGCAAACTCAGAATTGCATGTAGTTGCTGCCAAAGCGACTGCATGCGTTTGCTCGCTTTTCCTCCACCGCTTTCGCCACGGTTCAGTTGCTGATGGTACTACTCTCCCCTCCACCGACCGGGAGGAAACAAGAGGCCTGGAAAAAAGTCCCGCTCAGCCCTCCTCCCAGTTGCCCCTGTCCTCCTTCCTTTGTTCATCTTTAGTTGGTCTCAGTCCCTCGTTTCCAACGCTTGATGGGTCATTCTCACCATACGGCGTATCCGCTGGGCGTGGCGGTGCCCGCCTGTAGTCCCAGCCACTCAGGAGGCCGAGGCAGGAGGACCGCTTGAGTCCAGGAGTTGGAATCCAGCCTAGGCAACATAGTGAGACTCCAGCTCTTAAAAAAAACAAAAAACAAAAAACAAAACAAAAGCATTATCCTATTACATCCCACAGCAAGAAGGCTGGTTGTGGCCCATTTTACCTTCTGGGAGAACTCAAGGCTTCCTCTCTCATTTCACTTTTGTGGGAAAGTTTCTGATATAGGCACAATCAACAGAGTGTCTACTCTAGAAGGCTGATCTGGAGGGAAGAATGAGAATATCCTTGGATGGGCCCCCTGTGCCCATCCGTAAGCGGCCAATTAGCTCAGGTCCCTATACATGTTGTTGTTGTTGTTTTACTATAACTAACAAAATATAAAAATTGATTTCACTCATGTCAAGTTAGACAGGAAACATTTTTAAAACCATTCTTAGTCCAGCCCAACTCATACTCCCCGGAATGAATGTTGAACAAACATTTTTGTTCAACATTTATGTTGAACAAACATATAAAGCATATTGGTTTGAAGAGTTGCCCAAGTCCTTCTCTAGCCCTGATGTGAGCCTGGGGAAACAGACCTGGGAGACCACCTGGTCTGCTCTCAGTTGTGCTGTCAGGCTTCGACGGGCAATAATGGCCCCAGGGCCCACATGTAGCCCAGGTTGGCTCACCAGAGGGGGAAACAAGATGGTGGTCAGGGCCAAGCCCTAGAGAAATGCCTTTGCTTTCTGTGTCTCCAAGCATAGCTGCCCTGCGATCCTGTACTCAGGAAGGTGTCTGTCTGAGAATTCTGGATCCTGAATTCAGCTTATTCCTGGAGTCTAGAGTACATTTTGGGAAAGCACATCGATAGAAAGTGTATGTGGTTTATGATGAGCTTAAAGAAATATTTGGGATTTGAAGTGTTAGAATCCCAAGTGTGACTTTGGAATTATAGCTAACCTAGGATAAGAGATTGTAATCCGGCCTGCCAGTCTCTGAATGACATTAAGAGGTATATGTCAGTAAAAGTCCCCACGGAAAGCACGTGGTACCCCCAAAGTGGTGACCAATAAAAATTTAATGCAGAGACTACTTACAGAGGTTAAGGGAGCCAAGAGGGAATAATAAAACACCCGGGGATCAGCAACAGTGAGAAATTGATGCCACCCTAGGACTGAATGGATGAAGTGAGGGAACTTTTTCAGAGTCCAGCAAGAGCCAGGACCAGGCAGAGGGGCCGCCCGACAACCTCGCAGAGAAGTGGGCAGAATAAATGCCCCAGCCCCTCCTCCTCCTGGGTTTTGATTTCACGCTGGTCATTTCCATTGGCCAAACCTAGCCAGAAGCCGGTGGGTAGGAGAGCCTAGGAGGCTGGAGAAGGACCGGAAGTGGATCGGGAGAGGCAAACAGAGAACTAGCAGCACAAATGTTAACATGTTTAAGTGGAAAGGCCATCTCCATAGAGCCTTAAATGACTGAGAACACTGTACACTGAACACAACATTGACCCACTTTTAAGAATTAATTAACAATTGGAATAGAGTTTCCAATATATAAAACCAACTACTAGAGTCAGTGATATTGTTTTACAGGAAATTACAGGAAAAAAAAAGAGGAGACAGATCTGTATCCTTGAGCTTCGTCTACTCCTGAGTCATACAGAGTTCCCTAGGAGAAAACTCCCATAATAGGGCAGAGAACAGTGCACAGAAAGGGGCCCAGCAAGAGTGAAAATCCTGCACAGAATCCCGAGGTGGGAGGTGGCGAGAGACAGAGAGAGGGAGAAAACAGATTTTTTTTTCTTCCTCCAAAGTAAGGCCCTGGAGAGAGAATGGAAGTGTGGGGGCTGTGGAGAAACAAGGTGTAGAGGCAGATCCCAGCAGGACACAGAAGCCATTCCTAAATTAGGGTAATTCAAAGGGGGAGTTTCACAAAGGAGCTATTTATGAAGGTGTGGTCTTGGTGCAGGGAAACCACAAGGCACAGTGCACACCCCAGGGCGAGGGGTTACTCCTAGGCCTGAGGAGACAAGGGGAGGGAGCTGTTACTGGACCCTAGAGATAGAGGGGGATGTGGGGGGCCAGTCTTACCAGAGCTGAGGCCTCTAGTCTAGGGAGCCAGCCTGACAGGACCCCACAGGGCAGGAGCCGGAGGATGCAGCCTCTCTTACTCCAATCTCCTGCCTGCCTCCCCACAGGTCAAATCCGACCTGAACCCACAGGGAAGAGAGTTGGTCCTCACAGTCCATTTGGTCAGCCCCATGGGGCATGGGATAGGGTAGGGAGAAGGGTGGGTGCAGATCTGGAAGGGCAGATGGAAGATATACAACGCCAAGGACAGAATATAAGGCCAGGGCATCAGTTACCCTGTGCCGTATTGTTGGTGTTGGGTTATGAAGACCCTACTCTTCGTGCCCAGAATATTAGCAGAAAAGGGAATGTGAATTTCTCTGGACTCCTGAAACTTATCCCTGGTGTTGCTTGGGAGAATTATTAACCTATGACAATTAAATAGCCAGTTCTTGTCACAGCCTGCCTTAAAGCATGTTCCATAGAGTTGCCCTTGGGAGAAGAATCTTGACTACAAATCCATGCCTGTTCTTAGAAACATCTGCTCTTCCGGATTTTGATTCAAGGTTCTTGTTTTAAAGCATCGTCTATTTCGCGTCTGCTGTGGCAAGTCTTTCCTCAGCTCCAGTTGCTCTGCAGGATGTCTGCCACCTGTTCCAGGTGCCAACCTGGAACCATCCACCCCACACACACATGCGCATACACTCACAAGTGAATTTGATTAAAACGTATTTTAAGTCATATCATCCCCACAAATACCTGCCAAATTTAGCGTAAGCCTATCCAGCCATTTTTACCTGTGGAGGTAATTAACAACATCCTGTAATTTTACTCTTATAGGTTCCAGACACACCAACAGTCATTTTTGGACAGTACGGTATTATAGCATCTGTGAGAAGGTGCACGTACCAATCCGCTGATGCAGTGGCCGGGCATCCCACTGCCGGCCATTTAGCCAGGATCCGGAGTGGACACAGCCCCTCAGGGCAGGGGCAGATCCACTTGGTGTAGCTTCAACTACCTCTAGGCTCCTGAAGGCAGGAGCTGGATTCACCTTCAGTGGCAACCAAGACAGTGGCCTCAACCAACTATTCACTTCAATTAAGCTCAGCTTAATAAACGTTGCCTGAATGGCAGCCTCCTCCTAACGCTGCACCAGGGCCTTGTGCTGTCAGGAGAGCATGCCATGTGAAGCAGTGGAAGGTAGAGACAATCTCGAGTAACAGAAAGGCCCAAGGCTCTCATGAGAAATGATTTTTGAAAAATTATCTGAGTTAAAGAACTGTCAACCTATCTGCGTCTGATCTTAATAGTGTGCTAAGTATATCAGAAGAGCATCAACCTCTGATGCTTGAAATCTCACAGCCAGGTTTGGCACCTCCCTTGGCCTCTTGCCTGCACCTGGGCCAGGTAGTTCTGTCCATTGCATTTGCTCCCTCCATTCCCGTTATCACCACCACCTCCCCAAACGCGGTCTTATATCCAGCACCTGGCCATGGGCTATTGAGACAGCCTTGCTAACCAGTCCCAGCCTCATCTCCTCCCCATCTAGTCTAGGACCAAATTAACTTTCCCACGTTCACAATTCTGGTTCTTTCTATTCCTCTGCTTAAACACTCTAATGGTTCCCCATTACCTATGACATAAATCTTAAATTCCTTTGCTTGGCATCCAAGGGCCACCTTCCCTCCCATTTCCAGCCCTATCACATCACTCCTTTCGTGCACCTCACCTTCTGACCACCTGTGAGCAGCGCACCCTTTGGAACACTCTCC